AACATACATCCCAATGCTACTGATTATTTGTTATTGCAAATCATCATCTTTTGCTGATTTTGCAGCTATTTCCACAAAAAAAATTGTGCCTTTCACAAAGTCCGATATCACACAATATAGGTCAATATGATGCCATGAGTGATGTCATGAATCAAGGAAATTTCAACTATGATGTCATCATATGGCATCATTTAGTGTTAACATGGCAACTTGAGCTTGTTTTGTATTTTCAATGATACTTCAAAGTATGTTAAAGTTACCGCTAACCCATACTTTTTAACTTTTTTCTTTTTTTTAATGCTGCCCGGCCTACCCCTGACTCGTGTTACTCTAGCAATCATAACTTTTTTCTTCATGATCCTATTCACTATAAATCAAGATTCAAATGTATGAATAGTGTAGGTATACTGAGTGAAAATTTAAGCCAGATTGATTGAGAAACCCAAAAATTAGAGTACCTTTGCAAAAACTTTATGAATGTCCTGTACATGGTCAGAATGACCCTAAACATGATGAAATAACGTATTCACTGGGGAGTATCGTGATGCAACAACACCGTGTTGTTGCATCAAGATGGCCAGACTTCCGGTGATAGATTTTCTTACGATATGTTGTTTCCCCAATTTAAACCCATTTCTAGGACGAGTTTCTCAATAACCATACATGTGAAGTTAGCGCACGATCTATATTTAAAGAAACTGTCATTAGTATACATGTAGCATCATCAAGAAGCAAGAAGTTCACGGTTTTAGTTCCTCACTATTGATGCAACAACACCAAACCAAAGATGCAACAACACTCCTCTAGATTTGAGCAATGATGCAACAACACCAATTAATAGTATAATTTCAGAAGACCATAAATCTCGAGAGGAACAGATTTTTAAATGCTACTATTGCAACACCGGGCCAGTACAATGTACCCATTTGCGTTCTTCTCAGGCATTCAAAATACGCGTCCTGCGGGCGAAGATTCTTTATATGTATTTTCAAAAATTATCAAAAAATATCACCGGAAGTCTGGCCATCCTGATGCAACAACACGGTGTTGTTGCATCACGATACCCCCCAGTGGTATTCAGACCTCTGAAAATGTAACTGGATAATAGTTAGCAGTGTTAAACCCCCTAAAGACAAAGATAACGAATACTCGGCACAGCAAAGTAAATATTGAAGACAATACTAGATACTTTTTAGTAATTCCCTAAATGGAAAGGAGACTTGTCAGTTTCACTTGGAATTTGTAACTTCTTTTAGCATTGATATGCAACAAATCCAATTGTTATTTTGATTGCGTGTCATCGTGTTATATATGCTTAAACGTTCTATATTATTTTATTCAATCGCATTTTAATGCAACATTAAATGACGTAATAGGGGAAAACACCCTACCTTTTTCTATAGAGAAACATGTTTAATTGACACAGTTCAGATCATAATTTTTTAAATGTCAGCCCATCGAGATCGTGTAGTTCTAATCAAAAACTTCCCATTCGCTTATCAATGTAAAAGCCGTTTACTTTATGAGAGAAGTATGTTCTATCAAACAGTACAATCATTTTTGTGCGAAAGTAACACAAAATGCATTTATTTGGTATAAAGTACAAAAACAGAGTAAACAAGGCACATGGTGAACAAGATCGTACCTAAAACATGGCAGCGTGGACTTGATGGCCCAGAAAGCAAGAAGGCCGCCGAAAAGTTAATCAGTTAAAGAACATCTTACCGTGTAAAGTGTAAAAATTTGACGACAATCAGTTAAGTGGTTTTCCTGGAATCACGATGACAAGATTTATCCAAAAACTTCCAAGATGGCTGCCAGAATGCAAGATGGCCGCCGAAAATTAATTAGCTCTAGAACTTCTTACCATGTAATATGTGTGGAAATGTAAAGTAAATTCGTTTGGTTTTCCTGAAATCGTGATGACAAGATTTATCTTAATACTTCCAAGATGGCGGCCAGAATGCAAGATGGCCACCGAAAAATGATGAGGTCTAGGACTTTCTACCATATAACATGTGTGGACATTTGAAGTACATCTGTTAAGTGATTTTTCTGGAATTGCGATGACAATATTTATCTTAAAAAATTCTAAGATTGCCGCCAGAATGCACGATGGTCGCCGGAAAGTTAATCAACTCTAGAACTTCTTACCATGTAACATGTGTGAAAATTTGAAGTAAATCCATCTGGTGGTTTTCCTGGAATCGTGATGACTAGAAAGTTAGATTTCAAAATGCCACCTTGTCTAACCCCATTTTGGTGCCTTTTGCCTCTGATTCTATCAATATAAGAGGTGTTTTCTTTAAGAGGGAAGTCTGTTCTATAAAATAGTACAATCATTTTTTGTGGGAAAGTACCGGACAACAAATCTTGTTTTCAGAGGGACCAAATCAGGGACTACAGTACATTCCTTTGAAAATACGCAGACATTATTGGATTGTTGAATGCACGGCCGTTAACGGCACCTGGTGTCCATGTTGTCCCGGGGAAGGCAAAATTCAGAAAATGGTTTTGAAATTTACCGGGGGTCGATTCTGTAGCGGGTGTATCAAAATAAAACATTCTGTCTACGTATCTGACGTGTAGTATGTGAAAGGGCAATAACCCAGATGCAAGTAGAAATAATCTTGATTTATATCATTAAGAATTCAAAATTCAGTCAAAGTGATATTATACATTTGAAATCTACATGTAAAATTACGTCTAGAAATGTGGTTTTAAAAAGTGTTTGTCAACTTTGAAAATTTAATTTTCTTTGTAAATGTGACTTCTAGTTCGGGGAGATTCCCCATAGACCCCACGTTATAAAATCACAAAAAGTGAAATATCTTTTCTTTTATGGAACAGAAAATATTTTCTTTTACTGGATATATTCTAATTTAAATAACCATCAGATACATAATAAGGGTCATATGTAAATTGGACCACTGAAACTGCTGAATGTTCAAGTTAAGTGAATACATACATACATACATACATACATACATACATACATGCTATCTGACCCGAATCAGCCACCTGGTGGTGAAAGTGGTAACTACATACCCGCATCAGAGTAATTGACAACAAGATATGTTCTGTTTACATTGCACATAGATTTCTCCCTTGTTACAACACTGTCCCAATCGGCATTATATGGAGCTTCTGCGTAATGTAACACTGCTTCAAAAATATGGTTCTTTACATCAACTTCAATCGTTTCTCCTCTAATCTATTAATCACAACAGCCGAATCAGCGGCAATTTCAAAATGAAACCTCTCCCCTGGGTTTATGATAATAGGTGATTTGCCTGTGGTCGCTAAGATTATATTTTTCATGTTTTTATACCACACGGTGTATTATTCTGTATGTTACGTTCGAAATATAACAGAAAGTAAAAACAGCAATTAATTTATAACAATGTACAGTAATATATTTTTGAAAACTAAATGCGAAAACAATAATATATATAAAAGTCAATACTTATGAGATGTAGATAAATGTCGTTGACTGTAATGAGACAATAAACACCGAGTTGTAACAGAGCATAAACGGAAACAGTTTCTACATTATCAGTCATTTATTGAATCCAGAACGAGGCTATGACGTCACATCACATTTAAAGGGATACTATAACTTTAGTCTACATGATTATATGACACCTCCCTTCAAGCATATTGAGCACAATATAAGTAACTAAGATCAACTCAATATACCATAGTGGAGTAAGATCACTGTATCATTGAAGTATATATAAATGTTATGTCCAGCTTGCAAATATAAAGTCTGATACTCTATATGTGTTTCATAATCACTTTAAGTGTCTCTATGCCGATGTATGTAAACAAATCAGTTTATGTAGAAATGATTTCTCAAGTTGAATGTCTTAATACAAACACAGTATGTATAACTATATATAATGTAAATAATGTAAATAAACAGAAGTCCATAGATGTAAATGACATCTATTATGATAACTAGTAATGTGTATGCTACAACTGTCACTGTCAGCACATTACTCTATGTTTAACACTTTCTATATGAATCATAACTACATCATATAGCACTATCAATCATTCCTTAAATCTGGCTGGTTTATCTGCCACAATACCAGACCTAGAGCGAGTCTGTATTCCTGGTGGGGTAACCTTCACTGGTGAATTCACTATAACAGACCTATTCATAGGCTCATTAAATATAGGTGTAGGTATTGGTGGATCAACACCAGGCAAACTCAAAGTAGTAGTTGGTGCATTATGAACTGTAGCCTTCATAGGGCTATTATTCAAGGATTGAGACACATCCGGTTTGATAGGAATATCTGGGATAAAGCTTGGTTCAGGGATAGGATTTTTAGAGTAAGTGGAATCTGGCATTAAATGACGCCTGTTACGCCTGATAATCCCTCCCTTCTCAGTCTTTATAAGATAAGATCTTGGACTATCTAGGGATTTAACAATGCCCTTAGTACTCCATGTATTTTCCCGATCAGTTTTAACAAGCACACGTTCCCCCAG